CATATTTGGAACTAGACGTCAGCAAGGTATTGTGTGTAAAACTCAATGCCAAAAACTGGTTTGTTAGGTTGTTGCTAGGGTTGATATGGTATTTCAGCTGCTTGCAAAAGCATCGCAAGATGGTTGTTAGGTGTTTACTATGGTATATTAGGTGGTTCTTAGGACATTACAACTAGAGTGTTTCAGGTAGTTGCTTGGGTGTGGCTAGGTTGTCCCTACATCACACTAATTGAATGATTTTACAGTAGTTGCACATGACTAACCTGAGTCACGCTATATTACTTCATGATTTTATGATCTCTAAAGGTATTTTTGTTCAGTGTTACCAAGAAAGGTAGTAGAGTGGATCAAAATAAAATATGGATAGCTGGTATAGTTCCTTGATTTAACTGCCCTCCAATGAACAGCTCTGTCATTTCACAAGATGTCGAGAAATCACTTTTTGTCCTTCATAGTTTCAATAACATAATGCACTTTTTCACCTGGGCTATTACAAGTTTAGACCTTCTAACATCAGCTTTATTTAACAATAAACGACATGACTTATGAATATTGCAAAATATTTCATAAATGTGGGCTGGACATCTGCTTTACAGACTGTCTCAATGGTGGAGAAAACAATATCAGAATAACGGAATAAAAGCAAAAATCCCCCACTTTTGAATAGGGCTCCCCTTAAAACTTAAATGACATCATTAGACCCAATCCCATTTCACCCCTCGCTACAAGCAGTGTTATGAGAAAAAAAGAAAAACCGGCCAGATGGCTGCAAAAGTGACCAAAGGAACCCACAAATGTGAGTATTTTCTTTGTTAAAAAAATATAGTAACCACTGTATTATCATAGTTTCATGTTGTTTCAATTGTATTATGGCCCTTTTCTTCATAACAAGCATAAAAATCACTACTAGTTTGCTGATGTCTCGGTAGCTAGCTAGCTAAATTCCCCATTCCACCTTAAATGCAGTATTCGAACAACAGGATAGTGAATAGCTGACCTCAGCTTCATATCACTGAAGAATTATGGGTGGGCAATAATAAATTGTCATCCTCCTTCTTTGAAAACATATGATGCCCTAAATGTAACTAAAGCCCAGAGCGAGGTTGCTAAACTTTACCCTCCTCTGCTATCACTGCAGACTGGCAGGGTCACCTACAGGCCTTAGTTCTCATCATGTCACTTAATGTGACAGTACTTTATTACAGTACATCATACTTTGTGTTGAGTTGGAGTGGAGCTTGTAATCTTAACTACCCCAGGGGTCCCCAGTCTGGTCCAAACTTAATCCAGCACAACAGACCCAGAAAATCAAGGCCTTGAGGAGCATCTCAATATTAGAGCTGGGCTGCTAAAAAAAAAGCTCCAACACTGAACTTTTATTTTAATTTTGTGTCAATTTTTAGTCTTTTTTATGGAGCCCTGCTGGTGACATCCTGTATAAATAAAAATAGAGCATGGCCACAACGTAGTAAGGTGTGGAAACAAGATAATTAAGTTGAGGCCACGACTTAGTAAGGTGTGGGAACGAGATACTAATGTGTGGCCACAACTTAGTAAGACATGAGCTTGTTTCCACTACTTAATTATCTAATTCCCACACCTTAATAAGTCATGGCATTGGGATCTCATTCCCACGCATTAATAAGTCGTGGCCACGCATTATTTTTTAATTATTTTGTATGTCACCAGCAGAGCTCTGTACTTTTTAAATAAGCAAGACATTAATTTTTCACATTTGATTATTTTCTTCATTTCATAGACATTCAAGTAAAACGTGTTCAAATGTGGAAAAACATTTTCAATAGAAATTGTCGAAATAGCTTTTGTCCTCAACAAAGAAAATGGTGATGTTTCAGTGAAGCTGCCGAACACAACATGATTCTCATCTATAATTAAATCTAAACTTTAGGTGTAAGTGTGAGCTGTTAGAGTATTGGCGTAAATAACATTCAGTGAGGCCACCATAAGCCTTAGTTTCACTGTAGCAGGTTTGGTGACTTTTATTTTGAAAGTAATGCACCTGCTTGCACTTTCTGTCGCGCAGTCTCAAGAAAATGCCTAAGCTGCGTCCAAAACCACGCACTACGGTCAGAGCCAGCATTGTGCCGAATACATAAAGAAGGTTACAAGAGCCCACCTATCAGGAAAAGAACCCTCTGTTAGATCTGGCTACATTATTATTACATCTATGATACTTAGACAGGCGTCACATATTGGTCCCTAATTTGTCTGATTAAAAAACATATTATAGTTGTGTCAATGGTAAGAACGTTATAGGGGGATGCTTTTTAAGGCAGTCCCATCTTAAATTTGGCAACATGGTTATGGCATACATGATACTTATACAGGCATCACATATCGGTCCAATTTTACCAAAAATGTTAAATAGTTGTAGTTCAGCAGAAAGAAACCTGCAAGAAAATGCACTCCTTCTCAAATCTGGCTACATTAGTATTACATCCGTGATACCTATACAGGTAATCCATATTGTTTCCAAGTATGTTGAAGGGTTGTAGATTTTCCCCTTTAATCAAATTTGAATCTTTATAAGTCTTTCTTATAAATATTTTTATCCAATCTATGCTAACAGACATGGCAGCGACCAATGGTACAGGAGATGGAAAGCATCCCAGAGAGGTTTTCAGAGTCTTTCAGAAGTAAAGATGAGGAGGAGTTCACCACTCTGTCAAAGACTGCACAGACAAATAGACAATTGCAACAATTCAAGAATAACGTTTCTCAACATAAAATAGCCAAGAACTTTTTCTTTTCATCATCTACGGTACATAATATCATTAAAAGATTCAGAGAATCTGGAGAAATCTCTGCAATGATCTTTGGGCCCTCAGACGGCCCTGCATTAAAAACAGACATGATTCTGTAGTGTAAATCACTGCATGGGCTCAGTAACACTTCTGAAAAACACTGTCTGTGCGAAAATGATTTACTCTAGTGTTTCCCAGAGGGTGCTGCTGCCTGCTGTTGCCCTCTTTTATCCTTTGTAAATTGGTTTAAATAAATAATAAATAAAAATGGTTTTAATAATACTATCATTAATAGACTCCACTGTTCAGCAATGCATAAGTTAATCTAGAAATCAGTAAAAAAAACAGCATCAAAGATGATGAAATAATTGTGCAAACAAGAAACATTTAAAGTATAGTATTAATTTTTAAAATGTAAAACGTTACAATTGTGAAAGCAGCATCTCTTCTGTGAGGATTCTTCCTAAACAAAATTAATATGAAGTTTTGTGTTGCTCAAAATGATAATTCCCATAAAGAAATCAGATATATGCCAATATACAGATTTCAAATATATGATATTTATTATGACAAATGGATTTCCCTTATGTCCAATTTATATTAGTCATATGTGGAGCCAACTTATTTGAAATTGGCCATTTTCAAATATGGGGTTTATATTTCTGTCATGTATCAACATGTACAAACATATATATGTGACACGATATGTGACAGAAAACATTATTCATGTATGGATGGCATATATTTCTCATACACCAATCAGGCATAACCTCCTCCTTGTTTCTATGCTCATTGTCCATTTTATCAGCTCCACTTACTATATAGGTGGACTTTGTAGTTCTACAGTTACAGACTGCAGTCCATCTGTTTCTCTGCATACTTTGTTAGCCCCTTTTTTTACCCTGTTCTTCAGTGGTCAGGACCCCCATGGACCCTCACAGAGCAGGTACTATTTGGGTGGTGGATTATTCTCAGCACTGCAGTAACACTGGCGTGGTGATGGTGTGTTAGTGTGTGTTGTGCTGGTACGAGTGGATCAGACACAGCAGAGCTGCTGGAGTTTTTAAACACTGTGTCCACTCACTGTCCACTCTATTAGACACTCCTACCTTGTCAGTCCACCTTGTAGATGTGAAGTCAGAGACGATAGCTGATCTGCTGCTGCACAGTTTGTGTTGGTCATCCTCTAGTCCTTCACCAGGGGACACAGGACACGGGCTGGTTGGTTGGTGGACTATTCTCAGTCCAGCAGTGACACTGAGGTGTTGACAGCAGCACTGCTGTGTCTGATCCACTCAGATCAGCGCAACACACAATAACACACCACCACTTTAGTGTTACTGCAGTGCTGAGAATGATCCACCACCCAAATAGTATCTGCTCTGTGAGGGTCCATGGGGGTCCTGACCACTGAAGAACAGGGTAAAAGGGGGCTAACAAAGTATGCAGAGAAACAGATGGACTACAGTCTGTAATTGTAGAACTATAAAGTGCACCTATATAGTAAGTGGAGCTGATAAATGGACAATGAGCATAGAAACAAGGAGGAGGTCATAATGTTATGCCTGATATGATAAGCCGTTGCCAAGAAGGTGATATGGTATTTCAGGTGGTTACTAGAGTGATACAATGTGGTCGCCATGGTATTTCAGCTGCTTGCAAAAGAAATTGTAAGATAGTTGTTAGGTGTTTACTATGGTATACTAGGTGGTTCCTAGGACATCACTAGGACACAGCTACAGTGTTTCAGGTAATTGCTAGGTTGTGTGGCTAAGTGCTTCCTACATCATCCCAACTGGTTGCTGGATGTTGCTAGGTGGTTACTTAGATGTTGCTAAGCAGTTCACATAATCATATGAAGGCTGTAAATGTTGTGAATTTTGAGCATATAATCATTATAACAATAATAATAAGAAGAAAAAGGATCTTGTTAGTAAAACACAATGGCAAGAACTGCAATGCTTCAGTGTTTATTTTCTGATAGTTGGTCTCCTGAGTTCTGAAGGATGTGGTGGACTGAACTGTGAAGTGCCCTTAACTGCCCTCCTCTAAAACTGTCATGACCTGGAACATAAACTAAAAGACATGCATTCTGAAGCACTTCTTAATTTTCATTTGCAGCATGTAAACGTATCACAATATCTCATTTGTCTGTCTTATCAGAACACTATATATTTACCCTACACTGCTTCTTCTGTTAGTGGTCATTTCCTCTCCTCCCTGGCTAACCTGATCCTAGGCTGGCACGTTGCACCGTAACCAATTATGCTGCTGCATCTTCTGCAAAGTAGGTCTCCTGGTTGGGTTGCACTTCAGGCACCAACGAATTAGACTGCGGCATTCTGTACAGAGTGACGGGATTGGGTGGGAGAGAGATGCTTAACTTCTAAATCTTCTTTTTTCTTCTCTACATTTTAAAAGTACCACAGTGTGATAGATGGGATGTAACTATAACAGGCAAAACACAATATTATAAACATATACACTGCGAGTACATCAGGCCTGTACTGCAAATTCTTCAGCTTTTACTCTGCATATTCATCTCCAAATACATTTTTTTCAGTCTTTGTTCCTCTGTACTCAGTTACAAGGTTAAAGGTATGAATCTCTGTCATTTCCACACTTGTTTACCAGGATGCTCTCATTTATCTTACCATTAGATAGGCCATCTCTGAAGTGCAGAGCTCCACCAGTGATGTCTTCTTTGGCAAAGGGAAGGTACCCGCAAACCATCCTGAACATCAGGACACCAAGGGACCAAACCGTTGCTCGACCAGCATAATACCTCCCTTTCCGAAAAAACTCAGGAGGGCAGTATTCAATCGTGCCTGAGAACATGAAAGAGAGAGAGAACTAAGCAGAGCTGAGCAAAAACATCCATTTCTGTACCAACACTGAACAGATAAGTTGCTCGTTTTACCTTCAAAAATGTTATAACCAGATTTCTTGATCAAATCACCGCAGCCAAAGTCGATCAGCTTGACCGCCAAGGTGTCCAGGTTGATCAGCAAGTTCTCCAGTTTGATGTCCCTGTGCAGGACACCTCGCTTGCTGCACTGTAACGCTGCCACCACCGACTGCCACATGATACCTCGCGCCATGTCCTCAGTGACGTAACCTCCATAGTCCTGAAGGAAACCGTCCAAGCTCTTGCAGGGGTCAGGGCGCTCCAGGATCAAGATGTAGCGGTCAGGCTCATCAAACCACTCGATGAGCTGGATGACGGTGTTGCAGATGGGTGGCCGGCTCATGATCTGCAGTAAAGCCACCTCCACAGGCACGACCTTTAGCTCATCAGGCTGCAGGAAAATAGGAAGTTAGATGGTGAGGAATTATCAGTGAAGATCATAGAGAGAAACTCATGGTGGTTTAAGATCATTATGTGTTTCTACCAGCATTTATTTCAGTCAAGATTTGAAAGCAAAAAGAGCTCAGAGGTGCACTTACGCTTTGGACATATCGGTCATCATCCAGTTTTTGGACAATTTTGATGGCCACCTAAACACAGACACAAAAATATAATGAGACTACAAGCACTGTAAGCAGAGAAGAAATGATGACTGTAAAATGGAATTTAGGGAATTAGTGAAAGAGCTACGAACCTGTAGGCCATCAGATATGCGGTGTCCTTTGAAGACGGATCCAAAGCCTCCTTCGCCTAGTTTTTCGCCAAGAACATAGCGAGTGGCAAAGGTGTCTATTGAAAACAGTGATAGAAATGAACATCAGCCGTTTTTAGATAATCTAATATGAGTTTACTGATCACTAACTGGCTATGAGAGAAACAGTGAGATCTAGTTTCTGATATCACACCATTGTATTGACATTACACCACTGTAAATATGAATCATTAGGATAATTATAGAGCACTTAGAATGAAGTGTCGATGATTAATGTGATCTGGGCAAATTAACTTACCAGGCTTGCTGCCTTTTCTCTGTCTAGGAGACTTTCTCCTGGGCTGCTCCACTGCCACTTTCCTCTTCTTTCTTGCTGGGGCTTCAGTGTTTGGAAACTCCAGCTCTTCAGCAGGTCCTTTCGTGGCAGAGCATTTGTCTGTTCGGTACAGGACAGCCTGGCTGCAGCCCTCCTCTGACCTTTTTCTCTTTCGATCTAAATACAGCAACATCATTTTAATGTTAAATGGAAGCTAAATATATCTGCAGTACTGATAATACTAGGAAGATACATTGCATACATTTTTTTAAAGGATGTGGTGATATCTACTGGCACTCGTACTACTATAAAAAACTACAGTTTTTTATCTTCAGTCAAAAATCTTTAGACAACAAGCAAACTAATAAAACATTAGTGAACACAATTAAAGTCAGTATGAATAACCTGTTGTTTTCGAGTGTTGCTCCATCATCTGCTTCACGAAACAAACAACAAGCTGATTCACTTCGGAGAGATCTGACTAAAATGATGTAAATTTGACGTGAACTGAGTTTTTATAGTAGACTGACCAGCGTCTCGTGACGTCACACCAGTCCATTATGACGTCATAACTGCCGTGTGTTGCCATGGTGACGTTTAGATTGTTCGCTATATATACTGAATTTGTTCGTATTTTAAACTGTTTGATATTTTGATGAGTTTTTCTCCCAACAAAAACAGAATTCCACTAGAAAAAATACACTAAACGGACTTAAATGATGCAGTGAGAACCCATTATCTGTGACCTCGTTTGTAAATGTATTTGTGAGTTAAAGCCACGCCCCCGTTATTGTAGCAGAACGTGATTCCGTTACTCACTACACAATTTCGCTTCTTTCTGCAGTTTCTATTTGTGGTCAGGAGATGGCGCACTGTATCTTTGATAGGAAGCAGCCGATGACTAGAAAAAAACTGCTGCAACTCAGCTGTAGGAGAATTGGGGCTTCAGCACCTCACATCTAAATGACTGAACTAAATTACTATCATCTCATAGCTGGAGACCACCCTGCGGAAAAAAACACAGAAACCATGTTTTTCGTTTCGTTTGGTTTCTGATGGCTTTGTAATGTGTCTTTTTTTTTTAATGGGTTTATGTTACAGTGTAAAGGATCCTAATGGTTTAACAGGTGATCGGTGGCTGATTCTAAATGCATTTGATGATTTCCTATTGGGGTCTAAAGGTCTGTGATATCTGTGTACCTTTGATTCAGCACAATGCACGTTTTGCACCGACAAGCACATAAAAAAGTTTTTTAATATTGTTACACTGCCCCCTACCCACCTTTTTGGTATTATACTAAATCTGCTGCAAACTTAGACGTCACGGATAAATTCTACTTATTGACCCACATCAACACATTAGGGTTTATAAATGCTCAGTTTTGGGCTGTAAGAGGGAGAAAGTTATGGTCACTCTCTCTGTGCTTAGTTCTTAATAATAAGATCTAAATAAAATAACTTGAGTTTCTTTGTGGGTCTGTAATGACAGTTTTTTCTCTTTGGATTTCAGTGATTAAACAGTTCATTCAGTGTTCAAAGTTACTTTGAAACAACATTGCAATATCAACGTTGCTTGACTTTTCAAATTTGAAACAAAATTCAACCGTGAATAAACGTTGAAATGCAGACTGGGAGTTCATGCTTCATTTTATTATTCATTTATATATAATTTTGCCATTTATAAAGAATTATCACATTTGTTCATTTATTTTCTTATTTTAAAAAAGCTGAATGACCAGAGGGCAGCAACTCTGACTCCTAAACTTCTCACGGGCTCATACCAGGGCCGATTATAAGGAGCCTGGTCTCTTTGTATTTCACCCGTTATATCAAAAACATGACTGCAAAACAGCAGAGGGCGCCCGCAAGCTAGTCCTCAACAAATGGGGGTGAAAAGAGCTAAATGGCTAAAATAGTTAAAATAGTCTCTAATAACCTGCACAGAACTTTCCTTTTATTTTAGAACATAGATGGCTCTATTTCACCTAAAAAACTAAGAAAACTTACGTATGTTTCTTTTTATCTGCAGCAAAGTGGTTTTGGGCAGAAGAACGCTGGCATTTCTGCTACTGAGTGCTGATTGGCTGGCAAACGGAGGGGCTCATTGGCTGTTCCCGTTCACTGACATAATGGATGAACATGAGGCACCATTTTAATCTGCTATAACTGGAGTTCAAGAGCTCTTAAAAATACAACAGCTGTGTGACTTTAGGCCATTTACATTTAAAGTTTTTTTTAAATTCAATTAAATTTCTAATCACCTTTTGCACTTGAATCAGTTTACACATTTGAAAGAACTACACGTAAGAAAATACAACCCCTTTTCCAAAAAAAGTTGGGACGCCGTGCAAAATGTAAGTAAAAACAAAATGCAATGATGTGCAAATCATTTAAACCCTATATTTCATTGAAAATAGTACAAAGACAAGATATCCAGTGTTGAAACTGAGAAATTGTATTGTTTTTTGAAAAATATATGCCCATTTAGAACTTGATGCCAACAAAACGTTCCAAAAAAGTTGGGACAGGGGCAACAAAAGGCTGGTAAAGTTGTGTAATGCTAAAAAAACACCTGGTGGTTAATTGCCAAGAGGTCAGTAACATGATTGGGTATACAAAGAGCATCTCAGAGAGGCTGAGTCTTTCAGAAGTGAAAGACTGCACGATCAAATAGTGCAACAATTCAAGAACAACGCATCTCAACGTAAAATAGCACAAAAGCTTTTGCTTTTCATCATCTACGGTACATAATAACATTAAAAGATTCAGAGAATCTGGAGAAATCTCTGTATGCAAGAGACAAGGACAAAAAACAGTATTTGCTAGCCATGATCTTTGGGCCCTCAGGCAGCACTGCAAAAAAAGACATGACTCTGCAGTGGAAATCACCGCATGGGCTCAGTAACAATTCTGAAAAAAAACACTGTCTGTGAAAACAGTTTGTCGCTGCATCCACAAATTCTAATTAAATCTTTAAAATGCAAAGAAGAAACCAAATATAAACAGGATACAGGAATGCTGCCACCTTCTCTGGGCCTGAGCTTATTTAAAATGGACTGAGAGAAAGTGGAAAAGTGTCCTGTGGTCCAACAAATCAAAATTTGAAATTCTTTTGGAAATCATGGATACTGCATCCCCCGGTCTAAAGACCACTCAGTTTGTTATGAGTGCACAGTTCAAAAGCCAGTATTCGTGATGGCACAGGTAGTGCATTAGTGCACATAGCATGGGTGACGTGCACATTTGTGAAGGCACCATTAATACTGAACAGTATATACATGTTTTGGCAACATATGCTGCCATCCAGACAACGTCTTTTTCAGGGAATGCCTTGATTATTTCAGCAAGACAATGTCAAACCACCTTCTGCCTGTATTACACCAGCATTGCTCCATATTAAAAGACTCCGGGTGCTAAACTGACCTGCCTGCAGTGCAGACCTGTCACCCACTGATAACATTTGGCGCATTATGAAATGAAAAATATGACAAAAGAGATCCAGCATTGTTAAGAAGCTGAAATTCCATATCAAACAAGAATGGGAAAACATTTCATTTTCAAAACTACAGCAGCTGGTTTCCTCTGTTCCCAAACGCTTACAGAGTGTTGCAATTTTGGGGTTGTACTATTTTTGTCTGATAACTGAACTTATGTTTCATTCCTCTGTTCGGATTTATATTAAACTTATTTATACTTCATTATTTATATTTTTCTAAGGATTTCTCCATACCACAACGCTGTGTGCAGCACAGGTTAGACCTCCATCCAGCCCAGTATGGCTCCAATCCAGCAATGCAGTTCAGAATGCTTACATACGTAGCGTATATTGTGCTATCAAAGGTTTTACTCCTTAAATGTCTGAAAATGGCTGAGAGCAAGCAGAAACACATGTGACTCTAAATTACATGACCCATACCTGCTGAAAAAATACAATTAGGAAAAATTTTGGTTTCCAGCAAGTAATCAGACTTTTAATGGGAATTGACTTAATTCCATTACAGATGACCAGTTTCCTGAAAAATACCTTTACATCAAAATCAGAAAGCATTGACAGTTGCGTCAATATCACCACGCCACACAGCAGCTGGAATGACCAGCTCCTCCTCCTCCATGATTGCAGTCAGAAGGAGCGTGTTGTTTGTGCAGGGGTCAGCGGAGATGACCACAATCTCCACTTCTGCCGTCTTTCTCAACATCTCTGGTTTCTGCGAAAGACACAGGACATGCTGGTGAGGGTTAGTTGTAACACTAAACGCCCTCTTTCTTGGTCATAGCACAAGCACAAAATAAAGCGTAAAACTGCGGTGCTAGGGCATGTGGGGGCGGAACATATGTTTTAGTATTTTTGTGACCAGTGTTGCAGGTTCTAACCCAGCGTAGAGCAGCTGTCCAGCTTTCCTGTTAATTGTGACAAAGTCAAATTAAACTGAAAATGACTAAACTACTATTTACTCTATAAAAGCATAACAATTCCCCAATAAACCCACTGTTTTGTTCATGCTACTAAAATAACAAGAATCATAATGAAAGTGCACTTTGTGTGCTACTGTCATACGTAAATGAGTAAAACAGAAGCGTTTATGTGCATCACTTTGTATTGGCAACATTTTTAGGGATGTACTCTTTGTTGTGAAAAGATTTTTTTTTATATATATTTTTTCAGTTTTTATAGTTTATTCCTAAAACATACTAAGTATACAGTTTGAAATATAAATTTTTAAATTGCAGTTAATGGGTTTTTGTTTATTCATCACTATTGTTAAATAATAATATATATATTTTTTTAATTACCTTGACCACGGAATTTGATGTTGAGTCGAACATTACTCCCTCTTTAGGTTTTACTCGGAGGTGAGTAAAGATTAATGTTTCACCAAGGCTCATCTTGGTGAGCGCTGCCTCTCTCCACTTCAGATTGTCTCCCTGCACATTGAAGGGTGACGTCCTGCACCGGCACAGGCCCATCCTTTGTTGACTGCAGCTGGGTGGCACTCAACTAAGGCATAGAGACCCAACTGAGAATCCAAAATCCGCATGTTCTAGAGAAGCACTGTACATATCGTCGCCAGGCATCAGAAACCATTTGATGGCACTTAAAAATAATGTTTACATAGATTGGTCAAGGAAAATGAGGCCCACATTACTCACTCTGGTAATGTTTCCCTGCAGGATGTAGTACTTGTCACTCCGCCCTGGCTCTCTGAAGTCTTTTGAAGGGGGCCAGATGGCGTGGCGGTACATACGTTTCTAATTCAGGGGACACAGATTTGAAGACTATGATAGAGGATTTAAAAACAATTTCATCTGTCTATACTGACTGGTCAGGTTGAACCTCATCAATATGATGACAGTCATCCTTTGTCAATTAAGGGACTACACACATCTCCCCACCTGAAAGTGCACAATTAGCTAGAACATTTGAAGCTTTTGATTTCCACTACAACACCCACCAACTCAAAGCTTTCAGTCCTGGACACCATGTGTTTAGAAAAACATTTTAGTTCTGGTGTTCACCTACTAACTTTGCTAATATGGGCGGAGTAAAAATAATTAAACCTCCTAGTTTTCCTTGTCCAAAAAGAAGTGCAATAAGAGCCAGTTTGTTTAGTCTGTTTATTTAGTGTGATGTGGTGTTAAACTTCTCACCCATAAAGATCTGCTCTGCTTCTTCTCTGCTTTGCGAAACTTGTCACAGGTGGATTCCTCACGGTTCAGCTCCTGATGGTTCTGTAAAGTGTTTTGGCTTTTTTTAATGGGTTGATATCACAATGTAAAGATCCTTATGGTTAACAGGTAACCAATAGCTGATTCTAAATGCATCTGATGGTTTCCTAATGGAATGTAAAAGTGTCTTACAGGAACGTAGTGGTCTCTATTGGAAACCATTAAGCCAATTCCCTTTAGAAAGCAAAACCATTAGGTTTTAATCCTAATGGTTTCTAATTCTCCTGTTTCATTAGGAAGAGTATCTATGGAGTCTTTAGCCAAATCTCAGCACAGAGATATTCTCCATGTATGTACGTAGCAACTATTACAATTGATCAGGGCAGCTCTAGTAGTGCCCAAATCTGATGATCTGATGAATTAAGACAGGTGGGAACCTGACAGTGTGACACTAAAAACATTCCTTTTAACTCATTCTACTGCCTGTGGTTGTCTATGGAGAATTTGCATGGATGTGTGCTTGACTGTATTCACCTCTTAGCAGTGGATGAGGCTGAAATAAACAAACTCACCAATGTACTCAGCGTTGACCATCACTATCAAATTCATACATCATAAAAACACGGATATGTGTAGCAGCAGGTTTTCCACTTTTACCGACCATGACAAGCAAATTGACATTCACACAGTGCTGCCATCAGCTTGGGACATTGTGTGAAAATGGGATGCAAGACCTTGCTGGTCTGCCAGTATACACTGCCCACCAAAAGGGACATCTTTCTTTTGTATATAATTTTATTTCAAACCACCTCTCAATGTGTTTTGGATCTGATTTTAAGGTCCAGACTATCGAAATTCAATCTGGATATGCCAAGAGTCGGATTTGAGCTGGCAGTCTGAACACAGCCCTAATCCTGCATTCACACCGGCAGCGACGGGACGCGACAAAGCGGCCGGAGCTCATTCATTTTCAATGAGAGCTGCCGACTTCCGGCGACAGGAGGCAGCGCGAACGTTGGCGACGCGAAGCGAGTATGTATGTATGTATGTATTATTTATTTATTTATCAATCAATCAATCAATCAATCAATCAATGCATCATACCAAAAAATTCTTAGAATGAATACAGTTGAAGATGTGTTTAATACATTCATTTTTGAGTTTAACTTTATGCAAATAAGGATTGAGCAGCGTAGTACGCGCTTTATCTCCGTCATTGTGAAATGCTACGCTCCATTTTTGGTTCCTAGATAATTGTTCCTACTACTATTTCGCCGCAAATAGACAGTAATCACAAAGACCAAATAGCGTTTTCCTTACAAACTGACTGCACAGACACGGGGATTAAATAAAAATAAGCACACAAGCGATTTCTCACCAGGATTTTTAACTGTAGTGGGAATGCATCTGATTTGTGCTTGGCGTCAGTGAAACCATGGCAACCAACGGTCCACAGGCGATGAGCGACCCGCGGTTTGGGCGACAAGAGACGAAAAGTCGCTGCCGGTGTGAACGCATGGCCTTGTTCCGACTGACAGCTCTCCTGCTTGCTGATCGGTTGATGACGTCTGGACGCACAAATCCGACCTGATAACTTGCAAATAACAGTGCGAACAGTCGTCTTAAAAGATTTGACTTGAGAAACAAATCCGATTTGCCTGCAGTCTGAACATGAGAACGATCAGACTGGAATTCATGTGTTAACATACCAGCAGCTCGAACCCGAAGTTAGTGCCAGTAAACAGCGGAAAAGCATCTGACCCCTTTTCATCTCCGTCTCTTTCTAATAATACACAGCTGAGATCGTATCAGATCTAGCTATCTTCGCTACACAGTCGTGCTCTGTGACGTTATTGATTAGGATGTGCGCGTGCGCTAGTTCGTTTATATTATTGACAGTTTTGAATCTCCTACGCGAATGTGAACCATCATGCAAGAGAGATCGGATCTGAGTATTTGAGCAACGAGGCTTGTAATGTGGCCACAAGTAGCCTGAATAAGAATAAGAATTCTTGCAGTGAGTGACGACATTGATGGGCGTGTCTATGGTTTCACGCTTCAGAGCGTCGTGAGCTGCAGGTGACGTATAGGATAACCTGACAAGAGGCCTTCGTTCAAACCGTTTACTGTTTGCCCAAATTAAGACGAGAGGATTGACGCTGTTTCTGTCTGTCCTGTGAAAGCTAATGTAGTTAGAAGCTGCTGGGCTTCTTTTTGTAAGAGTTCATAAACGGTTTCAATACAGTTCCATGCAGTCGGAAGTTTTAACCGTGACCCACATTTACACTGTTTAGCTTGATCGTTGCAATGAGAATTGTTTTCCTGTTGTTGTTGTGCTTTGGTGTGGATCCTCTCTGGGTAAGGTTTCACTTTTCTGTTTAAATGCATATTATTCTTATCTCTATTTTGTTAAATATATTTGAATGTACTTAGTTTGACTCAATGAAACAATTAGATTAACCCTGGCTCATTCACCCTTTCAATTTCAATGCAAGCCAAGCAAGAGACAAAATCAAATCTCCCTAACTCAGTATCATTCTTAGGCACCCCATGCACATATTTGTGTTTCTTACCCTGACACACTTAACCCAGAGCCACTAAGGCCTCATTAATTATATGATGAATAAATCATTTATTCATTTATAATTTCCTATTGAATAAACTTAAAATGCCTGGTAGATGGGGTCCCTCGGACTGGAATTGAGTTGAAAAGCACTGTTCTAATTTTTTGTTGTATCTTCTCTTTATTCCTAGGGTCAGTCGTCTGTGACGCGTAAGATAATATCTTTTCTTTTCATGTGGCTATGATGAGTTTTTGAGATGCAGTCTCAAATTATTTTAATGCTGCATGCTTTGATTTTCCATTTTGTTTCCATTTTTGAAGAAAGTTTCTTTGGTGCCCTTTGAGTTTAGAGTTTCACCACAAAGGCTCTGGTTTTTACCCAGTCATTGCCAGTCAAATCTTGGACCCACCTCAAGACATTTACATTAATCTTACATAACTTGCCAAAAAGGGGAATTACACCAATCTTTCAATGTTTCCGCATAGCTAAAATTAAGTTTTGGTGTAAAATGCTTCATTAATAGAGAAACTATAACCGATTCAGAATTGTTCACAGTAGTGGTGGTGATGAGAACGAGACATCTAAAGAGTTTAATGCCTCTAAAAGCTCCTTCACAGAAAGTTATTATATGAAATGGTTATGAATATGCTGACTGTTGTCCGAGACATTGTTTTATGATTGTTTTGAGTGAATGGTTTAACCTAAAATGTATTTTAAAAAAAAACACATTCATGGGAGAGGGTTCTAGGGCAAAATCGTACCCAAGGAAAACTTACGTTTTCACATTTACCATTATTTCGCCATTATAAACTAGGAGACATGAAGATCATTGGTCCTTTTTTGACCCCCTGAGCTTCTCTACCGTGCACCATTTCACTTCAGAACACTCTGAATGTCTCTGTTATGTGCCAACCATTGAATTATCTAGAAATCTGAGTTTTACAAGGATTTTAAATTGTAGTTTAAGTACATTCTGCCCTCACTGGATGGTTTGATTGGTTGGGATTCATAAGAAGCACAGTAAATTGTAATATCTCTCTCTCTCTGTTTCTCCCTCCTCTAGCTCCTAATGTTGCTAGCATATCTGTAAAGGCTCGGACTGAGACTAAGCTGACCTTGGAATGGAACAAAGTGAACAATGTCAGTTATGTTTTGAAATACTTTAATGGAACAGAGAATCCACTGAGCGTATCGATGGATGGCTCCATGGTGACGTACACAGTCTCCTCTCTCTCTGCTGGGACTAAATACACCTTTACTTTGTACACTGTGCTTAAAGGAGTACGGAGCAGTGGATTCCAGTTCACTGTAGTTACTAGTAAGGTGCAACAGTCTTGTGTTCTTTTTAATTTAACTAAGATCACATGAGAAGTGGTGGAAGGTGATGTTTCCATGGCAAACACGTTCTCTCTTACTCTCAATCTCCCTTTCAGCTCCTTCTAATGTCAGTGTTTCTGTTAAAGGCTTGGTCTGAGACTGCAATTACCTTTTTTTTTAACATTTTTTGCCATAACATTTTATTATTTTATCGATTTATTACAAATGTTTTCTCTCTTGTTCTCTCTCTTCCAGGTCCCTCTAATGTTGCCAGTGTTTCTGTAAAGGCTCGCTCTGAGATTGCAGTAACACTTGAATGGAAAAAAGTGGACAACAGGTATTCTTACATTTATCTACTGAGGCAAAACAAGACTGAGACGTACACTCCTATCTACTGGGGAGGATCTGTAGCAACACATACTGTCTCATCGCTTTCTCCTGGGACCAAATACAACTTCACTCTCTACACAGTATTTGGAGGAGAAAGGAGTAGTGGGTACAACTTCTCTGTGGTCACCAGTAAGTCCACCAGTATCCTACACAGCTAATGGTTGTGAGACCTAAAATCCTTTGGTTTAAATGATTATTTCTGTGTGGATCTTGTTCTGATCTTTCTCTGTGATTTTATTGGTGTTTCTCTGTATTTCAGTGCCCATCAATGTTCCTAGAGTTAATGTGATGGAGCAAAGTGAAAATTACCTGGTGCTGTCTTGGGAAAAAGTGAACAGCAATAACATCAGCTACATTCTGATGCACAGCAACAGGACCGAAACCTCAATCACTGACTCAGACGAAAGTTCTGTAGTGACCTATACAGTCACATCACTCTCTCCAGGGACCAAATACACCTTCACCCTCTATACTGTGTTTGAAGGTGTGAGGAGCAGAGGCCTGAAATTCTCTTCAGTCACAGGTTTAAAGCAATTCCTGTTTGTTTCCCTTTTTAAAGCTAGAATATGTCATATACAGTTACACACAGACACATGCGTACACGCATTCCTTTGCATGTATGTCGTACATATACGGTTACTGTATAAATTATTGTAAATCTGTTACATAATTCCATTTATTTCAGTTCTTACTTATTCATTCATTCAGTTCCTCAACAGTTCACGATGAAGAGTCCAAAAGACCAATCAAACATTGTGCTTCAATGTTATGTTTCGACAGCGACAATGTGTAATGTACTATGTAATGTGTAGTCCCTCCAGGAATTTGCACAGATTCATGCCAAACCTAGCAACGTTTGCAAGTGCTAGCAGTTTTGTCCAGTCTCTGCATTATTTATGCATATATGCACATGCATAAGTGTTTCCCCAATTATTTTAAATGTACATTTCTTTTTGTGCTGTATGGCCGGCAAGCCATGGTTAAAGCAGAGAGAACATTATTTGGCAAATGTGATCTTTTAAAGTGTGAAATGACTGTCAGTTTCTCATCATGAAACAACTTTAACTTGATTTTCTGTGCACTTTTATTGACAACATCGCACTGTTTATTACTGCAAAGAACACTAGATGATTCATAGTTGTATATGTTGTTGTAACTCCATGCTTTCTGTTTTAATTTATTAGATAGTTAGATAGTTCAAAGTAGGCCTGAGCAATTGGATGATGTAATCAGTTATTGGCCATAAAATTAGCCCGATGACGATGCATCAAAGGCGATTATTACTTTGTTGGGAAAGATGACTGATGGAGAACTATGGAGGGTTGATCTGACTTTAAACAGCTTTCTAAATAATATGTACATGTAATAGTTTATTCCCATTTACTGTTAAAACACTGGATTATTACAAGAAGCAATTAAACTACAGTAGAGCAAATTCCACTAATATTGCTTCAAATATTGCACAAAGTCGTAGCAAAATCAGACATTTTAGGCCCCAGCAGTCACAGAAAAATGCTGTAGTGTCAAATTAAATTGAATCAAATCGCGTTTATTGTCACATCATGTTTACACAGGTGCGAAGATGAGTGAAAATCTTTGGTGGACAGCCATTTTGTAGTACTTAAATTAACAGTTTATTCATAATATTCATAAGTTCTAAAAGTCTGATCTTGAAGTGTTTCTAAGTCAAAGTGATT